GGGCCGCGCCGTCACCTGCAGCCGCCGGTGTGGCCGGTGCCGAGAGCGTTCAGGGGCACCCGTGCCGAAACCGCGGCAATAACGCACGCTGGAGTTTGTGCTGAGTAAGGCGCGCACTTCTTTCTGTTCCTAAGCGCCTGCCTTGCCTCGGGAGCGTGGGGAGCAAGCGATGGCTTGCGGTGGATGGCCCGTGTGCCACGGAGGTGCTGCTGGCATACAGGGGCTTCATTGCTGCCTTAAAGATCAAAATCTAGATGATGCTTTGCTAAACTGAGCAATATATGGTTTGCTGATGTGTGCGGGTTTCTCGTAAGTAAACATGATTATTTATAGAACTGAAAACATAGGCGGTGTGTTGGGATAATATTTTGGTTTTGTGTAACAAAGTGTATTCTACAGAATACAGATTTGTACAGCTAACTGCCGGAATAATAGGGATCTATTCGTACAGCTCTGCAGCAGAGAGTGTATTAATGAGTACCTGAGGTCGTGGTCAAGCGCAGCTTTGAGACCTGCAATGTCTTGTGTTCTTAATAGTCATCGAGGATACGGGCCTCCTGTAGTCTTAAAATACTTCTTTTTAACTTTTAAGCAATTAAAATGTGAGGCACAATGTAATTATTAACACTTATATGCGGAAAGAGTATCAGTTGCAGAAGAGCTATGAGGCTGTGTGCGTTGCAAAACAAGGAGGAGGGGCCACTCTTCGGGAAATGCTGTCAGTTCGACCCCGAAGGATTGGTGAGCTGACAGAAGAGGAAAGCTTTAAGAGAATAGTTTTTATGTTGTAGTATCAGGGGAAAGAAATTTGGTATTGGAGGAGTAGAAGGTGGTTCACAGGTGTAACAGGTAATATAGGAAAAGGACAAAATGGAACTAGTATTATAAGAAGAAATTTGTTTAGGGGAAGGTAAGTTTCCAGAAGATGAATGATTTTGCTTGAGTTATAGTTTATGTACATTTTCTTGAGCAGAATAGCTCATACATCAGGAGGAAAGCTGGGGGTACAGTGATGTAGATAGCTAGCCATCAGTGAAAGCAGTACAGGGAAGTTGTGTGTGACTTGAAGGTATTGCCTTATGTAGGATTCTGCTGTCCTCAAGAGGGTGTGAAGGCTGTCCTAGACTTCAGTACTGAACACTTGCTTTCTATGCTTATGGAATTTGTAATATCATTCTGTGTGGTGGGGTTTTAAAAGAAATTATTAGTTACAAGCTTTTCCTTTTTAACCCTTAATTTAATGAAAGTGTATAAATGGGACAGCACTGCTCTTGTTGTTTTAGTTTTTGGATGTTTTGTTCCTTAGCATTCTTTGTTTGCTTCCTTAAATATGATTGCTTTCTTCTGCTGTCCTCCATCCAGAATGTTAACTGGCATTTTGCTTTGATCAAATATTACGTTAGTGAGAATTAAGGTGGTATCTGATTTTATAAATAGGTGAAAATCAAAATCCCTCTTGGGAGTGCTCTACCACTGCTTATCGCTAGGGTTGCAGGAAGAGTTTTCTATAGTTCTGCCTGTTTATGTAAAACCTCAGCAGAATTTACATGACTTGTAGACAGGCAACTGAATTGGTGAAACTGCCATCGCATGACTTTTTATAGGTTTGAGGGTTTTCCTGTTAGTTGGTTGTATATTGCCCCTGGTTAGAATTGATTTTTCCTAATTAGTGTGTCTCCAAATTAGCCTTTTTTTCTCCAGTTTATAGTCAAGAACCATGTTGGTATTGTTTGGAGTGGCAAACTAATTGGCAGCTAATCTGTACATCACTGACCTTAGCTAGCTCCATACCAAGGCTGAGGATAGCCATCCACGTTCTTCTTGCTTCTCTTGAACTAAGATGAACACTAGACTGGGTCAGGTAATTATAATTAGGGGACAAGGAAGCAGACCAAGAGATGTGAATAGGTGAAAGTGGAGTGAGAGTACTGTAGAAAAGAAGCTACGTGGCAGGGAAAAGAAATGGAGTAAGGAGGAGGTGAGGAGAGGAAATAAAATCACAACAGAGAATAAGAAGCTAAACAATTAAGCTTTGGGCTCTCTTCCCTGTACCAACCACCAGCTTTCCTTCTCAGAACTCTGTCTTGACAAGGTTGAGAGTTTTGGTCATCCTTTAGGTAGGTACGGACTCAAATAGCTTCAGATAGTACATGCGAGTACCCAAAATTGCGAAACGATAGTTACAATACTAGTTTTCTTGTTTTCACAAGCACTTCCCTTTGCCAGGCCAATTACATGCTTCTGTTATTCCGGAATGGGAGTGCTAACCTTGAGATCCAATACTCTGTATCTGCTGTGTTTGTCCAGCAATGACAGTAGCATTCACATACTTGTTTGTGACAAGTGGCACATGATCAATTTGCTTAGAACTAAAATCTTTATTTACTGCTTCAGAGGGTATGTCAGCCATAATCACAGAAAACGCAGATTAACATTAGGATATACTAAGCAGAACTCATATTTTCAGCTATTTCAGCTCCTCAAAATGCAAGCTTCTTACTCCCACACTAGTGTGTTGCTTTAAATATACTAATAGTTGTGTGACCTTCTGTTTGTATGTCCCAGCTGCCCTCATTCAACGCAGTTTGAGATAGCCCTCCTGACTGTAGAGAGAGACTATAGGTGGTTTGTTAATTTGCTTCAAGGATCGCAATAACAAGAAGAGTTAAGATGTACTGTAACTTGGGTAAGCATCCCATATACTCAAAAATATTTCTTCCTGTTCAGTTATGAAGATCTTGTTTATTAATGGAAAAAGATTCTTCTCTGCTCCTAGTCATTATTCAATTTTTATTATGCCTTTTGGAGATGTTTTTGATATTGAAGACCTTTAGGGATACAGGTGTAAAGGCTAGTTTGAAATAATGGATTCTTTTAGAGTGCTGCATCTGTATGTTCTCATCTGTGAGATACTGGTTTGGCAATGCGTGGGTTTTTGGAAATTGTGAAATAGTAGCACCCATGGGAACTGTTCAGATTCCTTTTTGATAACTACCAGGTTTTGAAACTAGACTTGGGGTGAAACTGCTACCTGTCTTTTATCCAGTACTTTAAGGAGTCTGGATACGCAGCTTTGAGATGGCAGATCGCAGAAGCTGTACTTTCAAACATTACAATTAAGGAATTGCTTTTCTTTTGAAGTTATTTTGCAGACTGCCTGTATAAGCCTAACTTGCAGTTTAGCCTTTAGGAGATAGAGCTAAGGAGTTCTCATTACAGAAATGTTCTTCTGGGTAAAAAGAAAACAAAAGCAGTATGACAGCAACTTGTAAAAGTAACTTGTGCAAAACAGTGTGGCAACCTCTTAGGCGTCTGTGATGGAGATGAAAGCAGGAGCATTGAAACAAACATTTGAAAATGTCTGCGCAAACAGGGGTTGTCTCTTTGGATGTAGAGTAGCGTAGGACACTCTCTTTCAGCTTGTTTAAATCTGAAGACCACTCAGTTTTTCCTCAGAGCTGTGGCTCATTCTGTAGCTATGCTTAGCAATGAGAAGCTTGCTTTCTAAGTCCTAAGGATCTTTGTTAGGTGTAGTTCATGCACCACTTTCTGATAGCTTCTGGTGTTGCATTAAACTGTAATTTTGTGTGGGTGTAACCCTTCTCCATGTGCTCTGTGGCAATCATCAGATGCTAAAAGCCTCATCAGGGTGCCATGTAGTTCTGCTCTGTGTTTCTTAGGTAGGATGTGATGCCATATAGCCAAAGAACTGTGTGAGCTGTAACACACTGCACACAAATTGCATATCTGAAATGTCTAGGGAAGAGAGGAAAAAAATGTTTTGGAATATAAAATAAGCCTAAGGGAAAACCTAATGTAATACAAATATTGATAATATCGTCTTGAGAAATTACTGCATATGGAATATCTTGTCCTTATAGCTTTTTACGTAGGAGAATTATCCCAGTAGTGTATTTGACAATGTCTTGAAAAGTTTTTTCTATCGCAGTCCTCCCCGAATCGAAGGTTTGGGGAGCTGTGTTCCCTGCGTGCTTAGTTCTGCTAAAACTTCCTTTGATTTGTTGGAGTCCGCAGTGGCAGCGCCTGGACTGAGGTCTGGCGTTGGCCCTTTGCATGTGATTTGCTTTTTCTTGTTACTGAGCTAAACTTTCTTACGGCCAGAATTTGCACAGATTGATCAGATGAACTCGCTTGGCCTCCCGAGGTGAGTTGCTGGTGAGCTTCTGATGAATGAAAGCCATTGGAAATTTGCATGGTCCCTTCCTATATGCATAATATTTTCAGAGGTGTTAGCTTCTGGGCAGGACTATATTGGGTTATTTTTTTTTAAGCCCTTCTGAAGAGTGGGAGAACAGAGTGGAAAATATTTAAAACTGGTGTTTTCCAGTTTGTAATCTAATGCATAGAAGCTGTGTCAGTTGTACTAGACAAACTTCAATATGAAAATTTGTTTACCAGTCTTCTAGTTACAAAGATTGCTCAACAGTCCCTAACACTGTAGTTGGGTGAGAAAAATTTTGTTTCCCACTCCTGAATGTGGGAAACGAAAAGTAACTAGAGTTAGGAAGAGAGATAAGGGCAAAAGACCAGGAAATTGCAGTAGAGGGGTACGGGAAATGGGTGGGAGTTGAGGAAATGTGTTTTTCCTAAAATGTAAAATTAATGTAAAAATCTAGCACCTAAGCATTGAAACCTATTGAGAAAACTGGTCCCTCAGAATAATATTGTTGTGGACAACAACTGCTTTCACTACTATTGCTTATGTTGTTTTATTCTGTTGATTTATGTGAAGAATGACTGTAGTTCTACGTGATTTTTCTCTCTCCCTTAGGTTTTTACTATGTTTTTCTTTCCCGTTTCCTCTCTATATGTTTCCTGTAGCTTAAGTGCTCTCAGTGAAGCCCTGACAGTCATGAATTGTCCTGTTCTCTCGCTGTCCTTAACTCAGCTCTGCTCAGGAGTAGTTATGACTGTGTTGGAACTTCATTAGCCCACTTTAAAGGTGTGATCGAGGTCCCCCAAGACACGCCAGCCCTAAAGTTATGCTCTGAAGTAACCCATTAACTTTGTTTAGCATTTAATTAAGCAGTTAACTTTTGAGATTTAGCTTGAATATTAGGAACAGGAACAAAGATGATGACAACCTTTAGCCTATTGAGTATTAGTGAAACTTAGAGAAGTTTTGGGAAGAGGCTAAGCAATTTTGTGAGTTACAATTGGTTGTCACTTGTTTAAAAGCTGTTTTCAAAAATTCACATGTGTATGCATGCATGACTGATTTATTTTCTTGTTTAATTAATATCATTTTAAGCTTTTTTAATAAGCAGAACTAATTAAGCCTTCTTTCTTAACCAGTATATAAATAACAAGGCCGTACTAACTTGGGTCTCTTTTCCAAATTTAATGAACCTTCTTGTAAATCCATATATTTGACACATTTGCCTTTTGTCAAATATGATTAAAATTGGCAGTGAGGTTTAGTCCAATCACAGCTCACGTTCTCTGGAAGGTTATTAAAATAGCTTGGTGTTCAGATTGGGAAGGAAACCCTGTCCATCACAATGTGAGTGGTGTGGTGTGTATTTTTGAGTTTAGGATTGTATTGTTCTTCCATCTCATGGCTTTCTACCTTCTCCTTCCTCTCCATAACCAGGAACACAGTTGGAGCCTGCTATATCTTAAGCATGAGTTAGGTGTCACGTCATGTCTTTCTATCTGTCAAGGAGAATGGTGATCAGCGTTGAGGAACTTGATTAAAAAATACCTAATAAAATAAATACCAGACTTTCTAGACTTTCAGTGGTAAGCTGTTGAAGAGAGGTAGGAGGAGAAGATAAACAGAAGACTTCAAAACCAACAACCTCCTCCCCCTAAACCCTAGAAAAATACAATTCATATTTATACAGAGAAAAATTTTCAAGATAACATACTCCTCTGGTGTTCCCTCGGATTGCCAGAATCGTGCCTTTCTGTGTGTTTGTGCTTTGGCTGTTACTGCAGGGAGATCTGGAAATGGCAGTGGCCAACCAAAGCATTTACCCGGGTGCTGGATGGAGGACATGAATCTGTAAGAAGCTCTTGGCTCTGGTTGCTGCCCAGGTGTCTGGTTTTGGCAGGTGACAATGACAGGAGTAGGTCAGGGAAGAGGGGAATCACCGAATTCTGTGTGTCCGGTCTCCTCTGTATGGAGGACCAAACCCTTGAAACGTGCACGTGGGCTGAGAGGCTGGGAGGTCATTTCATCTCACCTGCGTGAGTCTTGGCTTCCCTGTCCCAGCAGTGCTGCCACCAGCCTCTCTGCAGCCTCTTGTCTGTATGCAGGAACCGATTGAGTTAAGGCTCAGTTAAGAGTGACGATGAAGGCAGGGAGTCAAGACCTTTCTGAAAAAGGTGAAGTTTTCTTAACCAAGTGTGGCTACAGTTCTCAGTCTGTTCATCCGGAAGGCTTGCAGCTGGGCTAGTGCAGCAAGCGGTGTAAAGTCAAGGGGAATGCTGCTGAAATGTTTTGGTGGGAGTAGGGAGCACTATGTGGAGAGCTGCAGGTGAGAGAAAGTACTGTGTGCGTGTGGTTTCTCTAGAAAGCAGGATGCCTTTGTTAGATCTCTTCTTGTCGCTGTTATTTAGTAGAGGTCCTGGGAGGATTCTTGGTCCCAATATTCTAATGCTTTTATAAGTGGGTGAGGCAAATGTGATCGGAACAAAATACCTTATTGATACTTTCTACATTGTAGTGTTTGATGTTTTAAAGAGAATGTACTTTTACTTTCACAGATTAAACTGCCACCAATGATGGAAATCATAACGGCTGAACAGCTGATGGAATACCTAGGTTAGTAATTACAGTAAATGGTTTTCAATTATATATTGTACTTATTAGTGAGTAGTAATATAGGAGGACTGTATTATTAACTTACTATTTTATTCAGCTTTACTTGAATGCGTGCTTCAAGAAAACTACTTAGGGTATGCAGTTACTTGTGCTTTTCCGTAATTGCTTTGAGAAGTTTTCTGTACTGCTTTCCTAAGTGGTTAGTCTGGTGATGCAGTTGGTATGGCTTAGTACGCCAACACGTTGGTGGATTTAAATGTATTAGTGTCTGCTGTGTTTTTTGTTACGGTTGACAGAATGTAGTAAGTCAACTGTGGCTTTAATTGTCTGCGGTACCTCTGATCCTTGGTAGTACGACCCAATTGCAATAACAGGAAAAAATAATCTAGTCGTCACAGTGTTTGGGGTCTCATTTGCAGGCACTACTGCTTTATCAGATTCAGTGTTTGACAAAACTGCAGCTGTTTCCATCTGACAAGTCTAACTTTAATAGCCCAAAGTGATCCAGGTGTTAAAAGTGCAGTTGTAGTACTCAAGCTATATGTAGCAGAGTTCTTTCCCTTTGTAGCCTAACAAATGTAAAATGTTTGAGTTTAGTAGACTAGCTGTGATTTTTCTTAAGCAGGAGGAAAAACACTTACTATAATTTTTTTTTGCTTGTAAAGAATGTGGCTTGTTCTTTTCAAAAGCATATTGTTGAATCTTTCAGTGAAAGAAAAAAGTTAATTACATAATTTCAAAAAAATAAGTCTTAAGAAATCTTGCTGCCTGTGTCTAAACGTTTCTTCTAATTGTACGATAGAATAATACCATCCGAAGCGACTGCATAATCACAGTTGGCTAAATGCGTGTATTCTTTCTTAGAAGGCATGTATTAGCTTCTGGAGTTGTCTTAGTAAATTGAGTAACAAAATTACCTACTCAAATTATTTAGGTTCCTATTCAGTTGACAGGATTAGCAGTTGCCAAATGATTCTTCTACAGCTAAAAAAAAAAACAAACCCTTCAACCACTTTGAACAATCTTAATGTAAAAGTTTATAAGTTAGGAAGCTCATAATGGTATTTTTCTTTGAGTGGAAACATATTTTTTAGGAATGAAGCAAGGGAATAAATATGAAATAGTCACTAAAAATATTATAAATCTTGAACCCCAGTGTGTTGATTAACTGATTAATTACCTTTGTGTTCGAGACACAGATGAAATATAAGCTTTTCAGAATTACTGGTGTATGGAAACATATGCCAAAATGTCCATCATATCAGTCAGGATAAGTGGCTGAATTTTTTAAATTTTGTTATGTAGTTACATATCTTATTGTGAACAGTTTGACCTTTTTGTATTTTTAAGTTGATACATCAACAGATTATGAAATGCTGCTTTGGTAACAACATGATCACTTTGAATTTTATTTCTTGATATGATCTTACTGTGGTTTTTTTATACTCTTATTTTACTCCATAAGTGTAATTCAGGTTATAAAACAGTGCGATCCCATTAATTTGATAGAAAACTTCAATGGTGTTGTTTGTGATCCGTCAGCTTCAGTGAGAAGTATTCATAGAAGTGTTGGAGCTTTGAGTGTGGAAATAATTTTATTTTTGCCTTTTTTAGGAGACTATATTCTTGATGCAAAACCTAAAGAGATATCTGAGATTCAACGTCTAAATTATGAGCAGGTAAGGAGCTGCTCCCAAAATACGGTTGCTTGTGTCTGAATGAACTAAAACTTTTTTCTCACCTAAGTTTTATCATCTTGTTAAAAACCAGAGGCATAAAAACCATTGTTTGTAGTTAGTTTTTTCTTTTTTTTCTAGGCTTGATATACAGCATTATTTATAAACATTTTCCTGTTAGTGAAAAATTCCAAATCCATTAAGACAAGAAATTATTATTTTTTTGCCTGCAATTAGTGTAGTTAAATAATTTTGATTTTATTGAGGAATTATAAAATGGAAGTACAAATGAAAGTATATAACAGGGTGGTTGCTCTTTGGAGTCTTCTATTACGCGTCCTTCCGTGTCTTCTGTTCTGTGATGCATGCTAGACTTTTCCTGAGGATGTAAACTGAGTAAGATAGAGATCTCTGTTCTTAAGTTGGGAGGGAGAAGTTGATTGTGTATTATGAAAGGCAATTTTGCTTGCACTGACCACTATTTTTACATAGCCACAGAAGTCTATGGCTATGTGGCTTTCTATGTTAAAGATTATGCCATTAGTTAAAAAAAAAAAATTGATGTAGTATATATTATCTTGGAGAAAATTTTTCAAGCTCTGTTTCAAGCTGTGTTTTTGATTACTCACGGAAGAGTGATTTGAATTCATTATAGGTGGCCGGTTTCAAGCTAGTTCTGTTTATTATTAGGTTGTCTTGTCTTGCTCTCATTCAGTGTTGAAAACCAAATCAAGTATCTTGGGCTAGTTGAAATCAGAATGAAGATTGAATGTGAGATCTTTTAATAATAATCCAAAATATGACTTGTATCAAATTATATGAATTATTTTTGTAATAAGAAAATTAGCTGTATTTTTTCCGTACAGTTCTGAGCTGTAGAAGATTATAGCTATAACCAACTTACAGGAGGGTGATGAAGACTTTATACCTGGTCCAACCTCTATGGCTTTCTTGTGCTCAGATATATGGGTTTACTATGTAAATGTCACAAACCTTTTCCTTAAATATTTAACTGTACATTTTTAAAGAAACCTTCTGTTCTAGGGATGTTGTAAATGTACTTGTAGATGTGTGAGTGATACCACATGACAGGGAAAAAGGTACGGATTGGGCAACTGAGTCTTACAAAATCATTATGTTTCAGAAGCATTGGAATTAAGTCTTGGTGTTAATTTTGTGTTTATCTTGTCACGCAGTTAATATTCTTTATCTAAACTAATCTATTTTCTTCTTATGCAAGACATTCAAGTAAGTTTTTCTGACAGCTGGATTTGTAATGCTTGATTTTAGTATAATGTCAGCATTACGGAAGATATTCATTTCAGCTGTGACTTTCTTTTTTACCATTCTTAAGGGATTTAATTAAATATTGGAATGAAAGTTGGATTAAAAAAAAAAAGCACCAGTTCTAATGCACAAACTTAAGAAGTTGCCCAGGGAGGATAAGGAGTTTCCATCCTTGGAGATATTCAGAAGTTGTCTGGACATGGTCCTGGGCAACTGGCTCTAGGTGGCCCTGCTTGAGAAGGAGGGGTGGACCAGATGTCTCCCAGAGGTCCCCTCCAAGCTCAACTGTTCTGCATATTTATATCCTCATTTATTTGCATTCCTTGTTTTAGAAGCTTGTTGCTTTGAATGTGTGGAAGTAGCTAAAATAGAAATTATACTGTCCAAACTGTAGTGAGAAGCTTCTGCGATTTTCTGGACAGTTCGATGTATTCCTGCTTTGTTTACAAAGTAAACATTACAAAATCAATGCAACTAATGTCTGTAGATGTGTGATCTGAATCTGTGGATGGCTAGTGCTGAATTGCTACAGACTGTCTTCCTGTTCACTTAGCAGAGTAAGAGTATAGCATTTTCTTCCAAAACACCTCTGATAGGGTTTTATACTTGATTCTGGTCCCTACTAATGCAGTGCACCTCTTCAGGTGTTTTGGTTTGTTATTACAATGATAAAATCTTAGAAAAAAGTCTGAGCCAGATCTTGATAATTACTTATAAAACTTGCAAAATTCTAAATCTTGTGACATAGCAAAATTGTCAGAAAGATGAAGCAACGTGTAGTAAAGTTGTGGGAGCGGATACCTTCCTGGTGATAGAAACTTTGCCCAACAGTGCAGTTAAAGGGCTACGAGCAGTAAAACTCGCATGCGTAGCAAACGCTCTCAAGTGCAGATACTGGATAATGATCATGACAGTGGTTTATAGCTATACTTTATCAAGTAGTTTATAAGCTTTTCTGTGTAAGCTTCAACTGTTCTGAGAGCTTTCAGGTTTAAATCTGCTTAGTAACAAGGAAGTATGTTTATAAAGTTACTTTCGGAGTTGTCAGAAGTTGCATCTAAACTGAAATTACGCTTAAGTAGGAACAAACTTATTGTTCTACTTTCATTTTATTAAGACAAAGTGCATTTAAACTTGCGTACCAGTAAGAGGACTAGCTTAATTCCTTCAGCTAACGTGCTGAGGCTGGTGAGCATGAAACTTTTGCTATGTGACTTATAATTACTAAGGTTTGGCTTACGTTCAAATATATAGGCTTGTGTTTGCATTCTGCTCTGTCTGTTAATGTGTGCACTACCGTGCTGCAGAAGAGAATGTTTGAGTACTGGTAATGTTGTTTAATGGATCCCCTTATTTGTAGTTTTCCTGCATTTCAGCAAGTTGTTTTTAATTTGATAAAATAACTCATCACTATGTACCCTACTTATGCCTTGTTACCTTACCTAGCTCTTTAGGAGTTTTCTCCTTATTCATCCTTTATAGTCAATCATCCTTATTCTTGTTTTTTTGTCTTCTCTTATTGGTTCCATTAATTGTGGTTCTTGCTGTTAACTGTCTTATAATTAAAAGAAGGCAACGCAGAGGAAACTGTCTCTAGCAACCAGTGGTTTTAGTCTGTGAATCTTTTCCATCTTCATGTCCTTTACAATCTGTATTTCTGTTTTTTGTTGTGCCTTTTTCCCCATTGTTGCAATCCTGAATTTCTCTTAAGCAACAGAATATCACAAAACTAAGCAAAAAAAAACAAAAACAAAAAACCCAAACCAAACAAACAAAACCCCCAAGCAAACAAAAAAGTGCCTCAGTTTCCCTGAATCTTTTGCAAATACTGCAGATACTTTCTGCTACTGCTCTTTGTGGACTCTTCTCACTTGGTGGAATATTCTTTTTCCTGCATGTCAGGAAGCTTATTTGTCTGTTGGCTCAAGAGAACTGTCTCACAAAGCACTTTTTCTTTGGCTCATCTTTGCTTTTTGTGATTGGATCTTCATAACTTGCTAATTCCTCTTAGGATTCCCTTGGGATCACTACTGTAATAATTGCTACTTTCATGACTTGTTTGCACAGTAGATTTCACAGGCCATTTAGAGGTATGCCTGAAATAAGATAGCAAATTTTTTTTATTAAACAAAAAATTCAGATTCTTTATTGCTGTTTACTGCTTTAAGTACTGAACCCCCAAGTTAGAGTTATCAAGTAGATCTGTGTAGATCTGTGTGTTTTGTTCATTATGTGGTGGCAAGTACTTCAGCCTGACTCGAAGGCGGGACTTAAAAGGGGAGAAGAAATGTCAAGAGTCCCTGAGAGATTCCCATATAATCCAATTATTCTTGCAAACATCTGGCTTGTGGCTGTGGGAAATAGAGCTGAAAGAAATAGGAGCTGCCTAAAAGCAGCTTATGAGTGTAGAAGAAGAAACAAACAGATATGGCTGATTGGAGGGGGAGTTCTAATTTTGCAGATCTCTTCTGGCACAATGAGAACGAATAATGTAAATATGCATCAGAATGGTTGTTTGGCTGATTTCTCCTTTTTTAAATGTTTGTTTTTAAATGTCGAATTGCTGAGTACTAAATAATGAAGGGTTTACAGGAGTTAACCACTAAGTGTACAAAGCTTTATTTGATCATCTTTTTTTTTTTCTTTCTGCTGTCAGAACATGAGTGATGCAATGGCGATTCTACATAAGTTGCAGACAGGTCTGGATGTCAATGTGAAGTTTACAGGTGTACGAGTATTTGAATACACACCTGAATGCATAGTGTTTGATCTTCTTGATATCCCCTTGTACCATGGATGGTTAGTGGACCCTCAGGTAACTTTTTCAATAATTCAAACAGATTATAAATTATTCTGAATTTTATTGTCAGGAGGGGAGATGTTTCAGAATCTTAACTGGAGTCAGTAATTATTATGGTAGTGGATCTTTTCAATCTAGTTAGAAAAACTGGATTTTCTTCAGAGAGGAGTGAATATGGACTGTACATGTGTTTCAGTGTGGTAACTTTGCACAGACTAGGTCTACGGTCAAGCTAACTTTCAAAACCTTCAGTGCTGACTTCATGACCATGTAAATGGGAATTGTTGTTCTGAGGGAGGTGGGAAGTTGCCAGATATGGTGTCCCTGTCATTGTTTTTGAAAACTCGTTAGAGAACACTTGGAAGGAGTGCAAGGTTACTTTCCTCCTTTCTTTAGTTCTGATTTAGTTGTGGCTGCTTTTGAGAACTGAGGATGTGAGAACCAGTTAAGAGAGAACTGCATCTTTAACAAATACATAATCTATTTTTAATAATATTCTTTAATAAACAGTAAGTGGTACTGTTTACTTAGGGGAAAACTGGTGAGTTTGGCTGGAATTATCCACCCCATTTTGTTGGTTTTTTTCTTTTCATGCCTTGTTCATGAAAGTTGCTGTTCTCTCTTGGACTGCCCCCCAAGCCCAACGGAGCCAGCTGATGGCCCATTCTCTGTCTGCTTTAGCAACAACTTCTGATGTTAAGCGTTAACTTGAGGATTTAAAATGGGATCTGAGACAGCAAAATGTGTAACAGTCTGGGTAGCATGTTTTTGCCTGGCATTTTTAGGGGAATAGCATCCTCTCTTTGTTGAAACTCTGCTTATTTTCTTCTGAAATTGCCATAGGCTTGCAGTTGTGTTCCGTTCTTGGCAAAGGTAAGCTCTGTTTTGTATGCTGTTCCTTCCTGCTCCAGGTTGCTGACATAGTAAAGGCAGTTGGTAACTGCAGTTACAATCAGCTAGTGGAGAAGATCATTTCTTGTAAGCAGTCGGACAACAGTGAACTGGTTAGTGAAGGTGGGTAACTTCTTTTCTATGCTTTATCAAAGTATCCACCCTGTCAAATCTTAGTTAAATGTTTTATGTATGGGTCTTGGTCTGTAGAGATGCAAGTGTGAAGAGCTGTATTCTGTCTGCTGAACTTCTTTCCCTGGGCAGGCAGACGGCACTGTGCTTACCTTCTAAACTTCTCTGATGCAATTTCCAAACCAAGGATCAGCCTCATTCTCTTGATCTATTAAGTACTTTTAAATACTATTAAATATACTTTTTAAAAAGCTGGGGAGAACTTTTATGACAAGGTATTATGGATCGCATTCAGATTTCAACTTGTTTAAATATATTATACATATAATTCTATATATCCTAGTGTAACCAGGTTTTATATATTAGGAAGTATGTAATAGACACATAACAGTATGTATTGCTTTTGTAGGATTTGTAGCTGAGCAATTTCTAAATAACACGGCTACACAGTTGACATACCATGGGCTGTGTGAGTTGACTTCAGCTGTCCAGGAGGGAGAGCTTTGTGTGTTCTTCAGGAACAACCATTTTAGCACCATGACCAAATACAAGGTAAATTCAACATTTTTGTCTTTACTGTTGTGGTTTGCGTTCCATTTTCAAAGCAAATTTTGTTTTTCCTATGACTTAAAATAGAAACAAATTCCAGTTGGTTGTTATATGTAAGTATGGCTTATGGTGAATGTAAAGTCTGTAGCAAATGTTACTTGTGACTTCTGGATTACAGTGTTTTAGATATCAGGATCCATTATCACTTTAAATCTTCTTGTAGCTCCTCCCTTTATGTTCAGTTTGTTCTCTGTGTTAACTCCCTTTGTGGATATATATAATGATATACATTTCTTACATAGCTTAAATTTACTTGCAGTTTATGATTGACAATGATAAGGTTAATTAATTTGTTTAATCTCTTGTTTCTGAGGATATGAAACTTTGCTTTACATTTCAGACAGTAGGTGAGTTTTTAAACATCATGGTGTTTAAAATACCAAACATTTGGAGAAGTTGAGATGAGCTACAGTATTGGTTCCCTTTGTTAGGGAAGTGATTATGTTTTTTAATCTCAGACTGGGGAAGCAAAATGGTGAGAATTGTGAAAGGAGTATTCCAGGTTACAAAAAGCAAGTGACACCTTGATTAATGCTCCTGGGAAGTCCTTCCTCTGTGGAATGGAGAACCTGGCTTGGCAAGTTTACAGCCATTTATGGAGTATCTTCCTTCTAACACAGCTTTGCCTTTACTAAGATGACAGTGTATTTTTATGTATCTGACTTGGGTAGAAATGGGCACAGTCAAATTGTCTCCTACGGTTTAATTATTCCCTTCTCTTCAGTGATAAATATGAAAGTTTTGAAATAAACTTTTCATTGGCTTGCAATGTCAAATCATGCTTAGTTAGACATTTCTCTCAAACATATGTATGAGTTTTCACTTTTGAATAGAACTCTTGAAATTACGTTTTGGTTGTCTGTTACTTTGTAAGACTTCAATATCATGTACACTTGCATTTATGAATAATGGTAATAAATGCAAAAAAAAGGAGTGTAACATATAAAAACATTAAGGAACCACTGTTTTCACCATCAATTATATGGTCATGTCGTATACCTCATGTGAAGGACACTAACTCTTCTGTTTGGCAGTACTAGCTCTCCTTTGCTCACTCTGTTCGTCTTGACTGTGGATGCTTGTCTTTGGCATTTTGAATGACTACTCACTAGCTGAGCTAAAGGTCTGAGTAGTCCTGGTAAATAATGACTAACTCTACAAACTGGTAACACATTTGGTTTTCTAATAGCTTCTTAGAGCACATCTAAGATTTGTTTTAAATCTATGTACAATGGTATTCTCTTAAAGCAGTAGGACAGGTAAAAGGATCTTTCTCCTTCTTTCTTTTTTTTTTAAAAAAACCCTATGAAATCTATCTGCTTATGGTTAAAACTGTAATTTTTATATTTCCTGATGAAGCTCATTTATGTCACAATTTTAAGAGGTATAGTTTTGCTTCTCTCAATTTTTCTAAATTTAGCTCTCTCGCAATAGCTGGTAGTAGTTTGTCATGGAAGCCCGTACGTTGTTGTATGGTTGCCTTCGTTACGGGAAAACCCCCAACCACAAAACAATTTGTTATGAAAAATAAAATATCAGTAGGAGTACAGATGTACTTTCTATGTAAAATACGGTACATACAGGTGCAGGAAGCGTTTTTTACTGCATTTAAAGGATATTCCGGATACAATACTTAAATCCTCCTGGAAATCATTCCTTTTTGTGCTATTATTAAAACTTCTAAAATATAAAATATTCTTTGTATTAAATACAGTCAATGATTATCACTTTGACCTTGTGAATTATAAATACAGAATTTTGTTGAATGTAGATTGTAGTCTTCTGCAGCCCACTGCTTAGATTAAAGGCCAAAACCTGGTGTGTGTCAGTGCTTTACCAACTTCATACTTGTAAACATATACTGCTAGCTGAGATCCTTTTTCCTTAAAGAAATAAAATGCAACACTTCAAATAGTTAACTATCCTTAACCAATATCAGTAACACAGAACAGGTTAAGGCAGGAGTAAAAACCTGTGTCTGAATTTTAACTGTAAGAACCGAATCTAAATCCTAAGAAATATGGAGTTAAAACAGGGGAATCATTGTATTTTTAAGTTGTGCATTTCAACTTTACTGCTTCTAAGTCTTAATCTTCTCCTTTTGGAGAAGTTTTAGCATTCTGAAATGCTCAGTTTTGAAATACGGGTCATTATTCTTGTGTTTCGTAGTTATTCTGGGGACCACACTTGCAGCTAGTGTTCAATTTCTATGTTATCTACAGTCTTTCAGTTCCTGAGGTTGTCGCTTTTAACCAGTGTTGTTCATTTTGCCTTGGATTTCTGGTGAGTGGTGCATTACAGAATTTGAGATAGCAAGAAACTTTTAATAAAGACAGAAATTATTTATTAATTTAATTTTAAAAGTCAGCAGTAACCTTTCTATCTGTTTGTAACCTATGTAGCTATTTGCAGTAGCTGTATGACTAAGTCTTCTTTCATATCAAGGAAGTCAGAAATAGACTTGACTTGAGCTTTTAGCCAAAATTAGGTACCCAAAAACCTTTGGACCTTCGGGATACTCCTGTGAGTGCCGAATGCATTGTCGTCACAGTTGAGATTTTTCAGCTGCTTTACTCTTTCCTTTTACTAGGTTTAATGCTAGCTCTGCAGGTTTTAAAAGGAGTTTCATTTACTTTACAGTTTGAACAGTAGTCAGCAGTAGCTGGACTGTGGAGAAAAGTCCATGAATTAGGAAAAATGAAGACACAACCTATGCCAGAGCAAACGAACAGTAGAACTGTAAGCGGAGAACTTCTAGGGCAAGAACTACGCAATTTTTTTGTCTTCCTTCCCTCTTCCCCTCCAAACCAATGTGTGCAAGCATACGAACAAAACAGTCATGAAGTTAACCAAAAGGGAATTTTACATATTATAAATGCTATGTACCTATAATAAAACCAGTGTATTTTTAGAAACGTTTACCCTTTGGAAAATTAGCAAGAATTTATAGTACATTAGGCTGTTTACGTATTACTCTAATGAAGCTCATACTTCTATGTACAGTCAACACAGTGCCCTGTATGCTGGGTATATTGCTTACATTCAGTGGGGTGTTTTGAGGCTGATATTTTAGTGAAAGGACTTGGATTTCAGTATGTTTTATTTCAAAGACAGTAGAAAGTAGGTTGATCTTAACTGTGCTTACTGGAGGAGGGGAGAAAAAACAGATTGCAAGCTTTTTCAAAGGAAATGCAGAAACCTATTGCGCATTCTGTGTTATGTGTATCTTTTCTAGAATTGGCTTTAGAATGGAGGAGCAGGTGCGAGTAATTTAAGAAAAATAAATACTTGGTGCTATTGAAATAATTCAAAGAGCAAAATTCATAAATTGGAGGCATTCTAAAGTTCAACATACCAGTTTTTCTAAAAAACCAGATGAACCCAAATAGCCTTAATTTTGCTCTCATATGATTGTGGTTGACCCATTTTTAACATTCATAGTGCTGGGTTGAACAGATTTTTTTTTCTGAGTTGTGTTCTTTCCACGTCCCATGTGGTGAGCTTGTTTTAGTGATATATTTTAAAACAGAAAATACCTGTTATATGCTGTACCTGGCATTCCTTAATAAGGGATCATCTTGTGGATATTTTACAGCAGAAATGGGAGAGGTGGAGACTGCCTATGATTAGAACTTTGTGGGTTTTTAAGTCTTTATTACAAAGAGTTTGCAGTATTAGTTGACACATAGTATCAATGTAAAAAGAGAAGATTTACTAACACTGACAACATTTAACCCAATTATACCGAGTTTAGAATGGCTTTCCACTGGCAGATCGAAGGACCTTTACCTTGCTTTTGGATTGCTTGTTTTCAGAGGGCTGTTTGACTGAAATGAGTCGTGGGAAAGCGTGAAGAGCCAGCACAGTATTCTGACTTCCTATATCTCTGCTTTGACAGTTTTTTCATAGGCTGCTCTTACAAGGTGTTGCATAGTGGCAAGAACTCCTTGGAAACATTGGGCATACTAGTGCCCAACTAGTAAGATTGCCGGGCTGGTTTAATCTGCTTGGGCTTCTTTTGTGTCCAGTGGCTCTATTGACTATTCTTGTTTATGGTGGCTTGGTTTTTTGGGGTTTTTTTTTGTTTTGATTTTGTTTTGTTTTGGTTTTTTTTAATGGGTACTAAAGGAATTTACTAAGGAAGGGAACTGGAATGACTCCTCACAAACGTGGCTTTCTTTTTAATATTTTTTTAATTGTTACAAAATTAACAACAATAAAATAGGTGGGTTTTTTTAACTCTTAAGTGCTGCTTGCAAGATCAGAAGTAGAATGGTTATGGACATAGAGCAACATGATGTATACCTGGTGTAGATTAGGGAGGTTTCAGTGATGTCATGTACTGTAGGCAAAAGATTATTAATAGTCTCTGCTCACAGATATTTCAAAGGCATTTCTACACAAGTTATGGGGATGAAGATAATACTTCAGGTTTTGAGCTGGACAATAATACATGAAGTTGTATTAGAAAACTTCTTAAAATATTTATTTAAAGAAGAGGATTTGACTTATGAGCAAGAGAAAAAGCAAAAGGGGGAAAACTGGTTTTAGTTCACTGTCATTGTTTTTTTAAATATTTGTTATTGTTTTGAAATATTCCAGTTCAATTTAATATATGGCCACTTCTAAAAGGTTAATCTTCAGGTGGGTAACTATGGTGCTATTTTCACGTATCTTCCAAATTCCTGACTCTGGGAGTAATAGTTAAATGGAAAGGGCTCATTCAGGAATAATTTTTCTGCTTTAGATATACAGCATTCACTTTAAAATAACGGAAGTTGATGAGTAAAGTAACAATAGTAGAAGGATGGTGGCAGTGAATTTTTTTCAGAAATTACTATGAAAAGTTTTGAAGTAATCTTCCTCTAAAGACTTGTTTTTTGTAAAGCTGCTAAACTGACATCACAATGTAGTTGTGAAGATTCAGATTACATTTCAGAATAGACCATCAGTTCAATTATAGTTTGTTTACTCAATTTATATTATTTAATACGGTCTTGAATAATTAATATTTTACTATTCCTCTTCTGAAAGTTAAATTTGCATAATGAAGTATGTTTTCATTTCTGATTTGAAAAAAAATGAATATTAGGATTATGTTTATAGAAAGATTCTGCAACACTTTTAAAATATCATCCTGTAGAAAAGAAAATATGGCAATTCTGTAATATTTTAGACATCTGTCAAAGTACAGTGAGTTGTTGATGGCGGTTCAGTTATCAGATTTTGAATCTCTTTCACTATTATTTGTCCTTTTGCCCAAGCAGTCATTTATTCTACACCTGTTTGCATTTCAGAGGGGCTTGTGTGCAAACCAGAAGACTAAGAGATCATTCTTCGGGAGAACAATCTTGCTTTTATCCTTAGCTTTATTTCAAGCTTTTTATATGTGAAACTGTAAAATCTGGGCATTGGTCTATGATATCTAGATGTTGATTCTTAGGATAAACTTTATTATAGGCACAGTTTACCTTAAGTTATGCACTTGAGACTTTCTTTTATTGTTTTATTCTCTATTGACAAGGGTTATTAGTAGATATTATTGCTGTATACTATAAGCAAATATTTGAGGGGTTGTGTTAACCCATGAGATTGTTAAAATCCCCCATATTTACAAATAAACTTAAAAGATAAGCTGGTAATACTTTATAAATGGCCAGTTAAGATTTTATGAAGGTAGAAACACATTTGTTTTGTGAAGTATGATATGGTTCTTGGCAAAGTGTACTTGAAAAGCATATATATATATGTACCTTCGTTAGGTTAATTGCGTGACCTTATTGTGCTGATCATCCTGTTTTAGCTTTAAGCCTAACTAGGAAGCAAATGCTGAATCAGGACCATGGTCTCTTAAGCAGAAAACACTTTCTGTTTTTTACCTTCTTTAAAGACTCCTTACTAATTTTTTAGTTCAGTGTAAATATGTTTCTACACTTAATTCTTACTGATTTTGTCACTCTGGTGCCCTCTTTGCCTTTTATTCCTCGTGTGTTGCACTGAGTGGAGTTGCAGTGCAGAAACCTTGTTTGGTAGGTTACCCATGTGGTGTAAAACTACGCTGTGCCAGTCTTGAGGTGTACTTCTTAGGTGTGTTTCCAAGGAGTTATCAAGGTATATGTTCATATTTTATATTAATGAAAGTTCATCTTGACTAAAAATTAATAATGAAAAAATACCAAATAGAATACAGAAAAGAAGTGTGGCTGTTAATTTAGCAATGAATACTAGTATGTGGTGTTTTAATCCATTTAAATTTTACATTTTCTAAAAAAATATAAATGAATGTTTTTACTGGAATACAATAGTTGTTTTCTGCTAATTATATCGGATTGCAAAAATATATTTTTTTAGTTTTACAAGTTTTCTTTATTCTTCTGCACAGGGTCAGCTTTACCTGCTGGTGACAGACCAGGGCTTTCTTACAGAAGAGAAGGTTGTCTGGGAAAGCTTACACAATGTGGATGGTGATGGAAACTTTTGTGATTCCGAATTCCACCTCCGGCCTCCATCAGACCCTGAAACTGTCTACAGAGGGCAGCAGGATCAAATAGATCAAGTACTGCATTTCTGCCTTTCTGTTGTATCTTTCTGCTTGCGAGTGACTGTATATAACAATTAGTACCAATTTTCAGTCATATAGATGTGTACTTACACAGATCTGTGTGTATGTGTACACATGCATATATAGGGCTAGAACAAAACTCTTCAGATGCTTAGGTAGGGTTCTCAAAAGTGCTGCATTGAACTATTAACGTGATTTAAAGGGAGGAAGAGTAAGTCTAACTGAATAGTTTGGAAAATCCAATTTTAATCTCTCAGAATCTGTCAGATTTCTTCTGTAAAGAACGTAATCTGGTGACATGTCACATCTGCCCTGTATATGGAAACAGAACCAGCACTGTGAAACTTCCCCCCTGTAACAAATTCATTTCAGCTCATTAATACCATCATAACTGAACTTTGATGCCCATTTTGCTGAATGGGCCAGAAACCATAGCAGCTGTGTGCGATGGTGGATATTTGTTGTTGTTAACTATATATAGTAGTTTCCAGAAGTTGTGTCTGAGACAGGATTTATTTGTACCAGTTAATGCATAAGCACATAGCAAGACCAAGCTCCTTGGAAATCTTAAATTCTGAACAAGCAGAAGAAGTTTGTCTTTATAATAATCGCCATTAATGTTTTTTTAAATACTGGGGAGAAAAAATAAATAAGCAGATGCTCTTTAAAAAATTCAAGCTCTGGCAGAGACAACAGGGTGTAGTAATATCTGGAGTTGCTGTCTGTCTGGGTATATCCAAGACTACCTTTTGATTATTTTCTCATCTGTTCAGGCGTTAGTATTCCTTGCTGATGTACTCTCACCACTGTTCAGTAGAGTGGGGACAGATATTCTATCAAGCATAATGAAAGTGTGAATTAGAAATAGCAAATTACAAAGAGGCATCTTCAAAATCTTTAATTCTACCTAGAACACTAGACTAGACACTGGCTGTCTCCTGCTGCTGTCCAGGTAATGGAATTGAAACCTGAGAGCAAATGTTTTTAACTTATCCTCTGTGTTTTGTGTGCTGTGACATAGGCAACCTAGAACTAGTATGAGGTGACACTGGCTGTCTCCTGCTGCTGTCCAGGTAATGGAATTGAAACCTGAGAGCAAATGTTTTTAACTTATCCTCTGTGTTTTGTGTGCTGTGACATAGGCACTGTGAAAGGAGAAATGTAAAGTCGCTGTTTTCAGCCTCTCTGCAGTTCAGGTTATGAACAGGTTCTGAAAAACCTGTCCTGTTTTTGATGAGGTAGATGTGTCTGAAGATGAGCCTGGGAGAAGAGTGATGGTACTGGGTAGCTGCACGTGCTGAAAAAGTCACTCGATTTAACTTGGCTTTTTTCTATGTGAAAGAAAATTAATAAACAAGTTTACTGTTTAGGATTATCTGATGGCATTGTCTCTACAACAAGAGCAGCAAAATCAAGAGATTAACTGGGAACAGATCCCAGAAGGAATCAGTGATCTAGAGCTAGCAAAGAAGCTCCAGGAAGAGGAGGACAGGAGAGCTTCTCAGTACTATCAGGAACAAGAACAAGCAGCTGCTCAGGTCCAGGTAAGAAGTGATTATTACAGAATATGATCATGAGTTTTAGAGACTATTAACTTAATAGTTCCACAGAGACATCTGTAAATGTTTCAGACTGGTAAGACTGCTATTTGCATTCTGTACAGAAAGGGATGAGATGAATATAGGAATCTTAAGAAATATGCAACAATTTTTGGAGTGTGCATGCAGATACAGCAGTTGCTGCTGTGAAATACATCAAAGCACACCTAACCTTCTAAATGAGGGTTTCATTCATCCCATTAACGTTGGAATGATGGGAGGAGTTAATACATGAGGTTACAAAAATTGTATTAGTTAGCATTTTATATGACTTGCAAAATAGCATTCAAAGAAGAGCTTTTTGATAGGAGTTGAAGTTTTGTCTTTATTTTCTCTTCAAGTTTGTTGCTTTACATTTTTAGCTGTTTCATTCTGTAATACCATGTGAATCTGTTCAGTCCTGTTTCAAATTAGGAAATGGACAGTTTATCCTAGAACACATTTCTGTCCCGTCCCCATAAGCAGTGGCACTCAAACTGCTTGGAAAATGTGATTCATGCACAGGAATATACAAGATTGCCGTATAACTGAATCTTGTGTGCAATATTCAAGTTGGTGTTCTGGGGTCAGGGAGCTCTTAACTACTAAAGACTTTTAAAACTGCTTTTATTTACAAATAAGTAAAAAATATCTGTATGAAGGCTGAGTCCTTGATGGCCTGAAGCACTTCAGAGCCATTAACTGATGCTCTTGTTAAGCATGAAACAAGAATTTTGACAATTAAAGTTGTGCTATTTCCACTGCTTGTTGCTTGAATAGAATCATCAGTAGCTACTTCTAAGACAACAGATTTGCTGCTGCTGGCTGCAGAAAGGTAGAACTGAAGAGCACGCTTACCAGGACTGAACAGCACGTTCATCTGCGGCTGTGAATGGACAGCAGCTGGAATAGATGATGGATTAACAAAACTTAGGTTGCCTTTGCGTACCAACCCCTTAGCCAAGTTCTTAACTAGTTTCTCATCACAAAAAGCTGCTGCTTTGCCATATGTAGCTGTCAAACCCAACGTTTTCACTCTGCAACTTCCTAAATGTGCATTATGTTCTTATAAAAGAAACTAGGAAAAAATTCCAGTACAGTGATACAGAAGTGCCAGAAAATGCTTGAAGCCAAATTTTATTATTGAAACAACTAATCTGAATATGTGGACACAACAGAAGGGACACACAGGACTTGAAATATATTTCAGCTGGCTTCATTTTTTCAAAATAAGGTTTGTGGTAGTTTTGGAATATTTATACAAAAGACCCTACCTGAATTCTGCTGTTGGCATCATAGTCAAACTTTTGTTTGTGAACTCGAACACTGAGTAGTAGTTCAGGCTGCATCTACAGTAATGTTTGTTTTATTCAATATTGTATTTTTTTATATAGCAGGTGCAAGGTGCTGCTTCTCCAGCAAGTGGTAGACAATCTGGGAGTAATGAACGCAAACGTAAAGAGCCTCGAGAGAAAGAGAGAGAAAGAGAGAAGAATAGCTGTGTTCTCTTGTAATGGAAAATGGATTTAGTCTGGAGCCAAGTGCATGTCCTCAGAAGCAAAACCAAGGAGTCAAAAGGAAGACAAACCTGTTACATGCCGCCTGTGCCTGATTACCCAATGGATTCTGTTCATGTTTCAAGAGAGGATGGGTGACTTTGTTACAATCATACAGACTTTCTTCACAGTCGGAGCGCGTGCTGCTCAAGATGGAATTCCAAATCACCGTTTGGATGCGGCTGCGCTTTGAGTTAGTCATAAGAAATACTGCACCTTGTAGCCGAACACACAAATCATCCAAGTTTTGTGTCAGTGACATCCATTACTTGTTGACATCAGTTAGTAAGCTATTTTATCTTCTACTCTAAACCAAGGAGGTAATTTGTTTTGTGTAAGACTTTCTCCTGAAGTCTGTACACTATCACAACAGAGTTCTGTGTTACTTGTCTCTTAGGCTGGGTATAGTCTTCACGACACAGGAGCCCAAATAACAGCTGGGCACTGCCTCCTCAGTATGTCCAGATTTCTTTGCTTCTGGATCCGGTATGTTTGGTTTTTTGAACCCAGATTGATACTGTGTTAGTGCTATCATTGCACCTCCTGGCCAGCTTTCTTGCCCCAAGGATATGTGACTTGATAGGCATCGTACAAAAAATTGTCATAGAAAATGGGGCATTTATTGATAAGCAGGATGAATAGTTTGCTTTTCTTGCAATTACAGACTGGGTATGGCAACTCAGATATTATCAGGGTTAAACACGTAATTTTATAGGTAACTTCCTTTTCTTTTAGTATTTTTTCTCTTGTAGGTAAACTGGACCAGATATGTTCTTATTTATTGACCTCTCCATATGATAGGTGAATTACGAGAGGAAACTAAGGTCTACAATAATCATTATTCTATGTAAGGGTGCAGAGTTAAAATAACTATCTGCCTTTTTTCCAGAAGTACCTTGAACTTTAACATGACGTTAACGTGTCCACTTGTATACTTAAGCAAGTGTACTGTAGTTAAAAACACACTTTTTTGTTTGTTTTATAAATCATGTATCCTTAAAAAGCACACTTCTGAAGGGTGAGAGAGGAGCGAGGCTGCTCTCTGAGATTGTTTGGGAAGGTGGTCTGGTGTAATATTTTGTTTTTTTTAAATCACTAATTTAGAATTTTTGGAAACCAGATTTTTCTAATTTATGGGAACCAAATAAACATGTTGTGTCTTGTAGTATTTATAGAACACAAACAGAATACTTGCTGAATTTTGAGGGAACCACAGATCTTCCTCCACTTCCATTAAGTCAATAACAGTTACCTTCTTGATGAACCTTTTTGATAAAAATTTCTATTTAGCAATTTGTAGATACTTTTGAAAAAGGTTGCTTCTCCTGAGCAAGTTCTGGATTCATGCTCTAAGCCTGGGTAAGTGCATTCAAATACAATAATCTGGGCACGCTAAGGCAGCCGGGTGGAATGTGACATTCCTGTTTCCAGGTGTTTGGAGAATGTCTGTGAGAGGGAGGGTGTCTAAACACAAGTCCCCTGGTAAAAAGCTGCTTGGAAATTATTTCAGGCAGACTTGCTGCAGTGATGGGAACCAGTCATCAGATAAATCTGTTATGAACCTAGAATGAAAATCAGGTGGATAAAGGAAGAATGTCTTAATAACTAAAGGGCCAGTTTGTATCACTTTTTTCTTCCATGCCTTTTTCTCTTTTGTTTTTTTTTTCCACTTTTGTTACAATTTCCCTTTTATAATAATGAAGTAATGAACAGTAGGTGGTCTCTAATACACAATCTGTAAATTTAAAAATTTCTCTATTCTCTGGAAAAGTCATGCCCAGAAAAGTAATTTTAATACTTAATGTATACAGTTCAGGTAATTTTCTATGTCAAAGCAAAGGTTGATGTCTTTTTTTCCTTTGCAGCAGCCTAACTTCTTCAAACCAATTAATGTGATGGAGGATGGCCAACATAATGACTTACCTACTTTAAGCAGACCAGAAAATATTCCAGTAGTGTCAATAACAAAGACTTTTAAGCCAGAATGTTATTTAAAAACATTCTGTTACTAAGATTTTTCCAAATTTGTGTATTTACATTTATTTATTGACCTTGAAAAATAAATATGTCAAGCTAAGTGTTTGTTATCTTATTATTTGCAGTGACAGTATTGCCACTTGGAATTCCTTTTTGAACAAATCTAGCTGGAGCAGGCATTGTGGCTGTTGAGTGTATGTTTTGCCTAAGATACTTGCTCGTATTAGAAGAATTCATGTAACATTTCCAGTTTTAGACAGATGTGCCTGAAACTTAATATCCTGTAGTTGTGGTAGTGTTGTCATTTGCTCTCAAAGGAAGAAGAGTTAAATATCAGAGCTCATCATGAAGCCTGCAATCCCAGATAATTTAGTTTCCCTTTCACTAAAGGAGTGAAGAGTTTCAGATTATTTGAGATGGCAGGCATGCTATACACTTTTCTGTTCATATCCTTTTTTCTTTACAGGTCTTGAAGCTTTGGAAAAAAAGTAAAGAATTCTGGAAATCTAGGGCATTGCTCTGCACAAGTTGAGCTTGTTAGTGGCCAAAGTTAGAAGCAGATGAGCTTGTTAATCTCCAAAATGAAATACATCTGGAAGCTTAATTTATACTCTGTGACTAACATTCCAAAAGCAACTGTCACCGTTGGTATCTGTGGCAGTATCTGATGATCAAAAAAACTGAACAGAGTTGGTTTTATCTGTAACAGTGAGCTTGGAACCCAGTATTACAAAATATGAATGGAGTACCAGAAAGATGATGTCTACGTCTGACTATTTACTTCATTTGCCTCTTTTTTCTGAAGCTGAAGTTCTGGCAGAAGGGTACAGATTTATACTTTAAATCTGTTTGTACCATTTAGCATGCACATACCTACATAATAGATATGAAAGTGTCCAGAAGAGTAGATTAGAACTTGTTCTCCACTAGATAAAAGCTAGCACAAAAACCAGAAATATAGGATTTTTGTTGCATTGTAGTTGTGAAATAAAAAAAAAGCTAAATACAAGTATTCTTTAAATTAGCAAAAAATTGAGCACTGCCATAGCGATAAATGTTTTTCTGAAAGGCACTTTGTAAACGCTCAGATATACCACTTGTGTGACGCTCATACAGAATCTGCAACCCAACAGAGTGGTTCCGAAGGGAGACTATAACGGCAGAGGATGAAATTAGCATTCCTGAAAATTCACGTAAACACGAAAGATGTATTTTGTAGCTAGCCACCCAGTTAATATACTGAAGTCTATGTTCAGAGTGTCTTTACAGAGCTCTTCGTGTGGATCACAGGCACACAAGCCCAAAGTGAAGCATATGCTCCTCTGCGTACACTTGGGTGGGATTGCCAGTCAATCCCTGCCCTCATTTGCTATCTCATGTTACTGTCAAATGTTTCTTCAAGCTTGTATCCACAAATTCTTGAGAAGATTTTCCAGGATGTAATAAAATTGAGTTCTTGAAATGGAATCTTTTGGTGTATTCAGCAG